AATTGGTTTGGGAGTGTGAGCAGTTGTTGGTAGACGTAAAGCCCATCTTGAACATCCGATGACCTGTATAGTGCACTCTATGTAGTATTTTGTATTGAATTAATTGAAGACTGGGATTTCTAATTAAATGAAAGGTTTTTAAGCATATCTGAGACCAGAAGTTTTGCTCAAAGTTAACTGATAAATCCGCTTCCCATTTTGCAATAGGAAGTGATATTGATTCATCCATTTTAGAAAGCATTGTGTATATTTTGGAAAGTAATTTTGGGGTTTTAAGAGTAATAAATTGAACCACACTTGGTGGTGTTTGTAGTTCAACTTGACCCGGTTTAAATTTCTTTTTTACTATGGATTTAATTTACTCATTCTCAGTCATTCACAGCTCACTGACAATAGTGCTGGCAAATTATTCAGCAGGATCAAGTTTTTGGGGATACAGATAACTGACAGCCTCTTAATACGTCAGTAGTGGTTGAAAAGGGCTGAGCGGCATCTGCACATCAGGCACTGTAGCAGATCGTCTTCACTGTGTCTATATGCCTAAATACATTGAGTTGGTGCCATGTGATTGGTTAATAAGATACAAGTTAATAAGCAGTTTAACAGGTGTACCTAAGCCAGTGGCCAGTGAGTGTGTAAGTGTCAGAAACACAAGTAACTTACCTCTGAGCTTCAGTGGGCCCACAAAGTTCCCCCGGTGTAGTGTTTTTAGAGGGAAGGATCGCATCATTTTTCCCTTCTACAAGATCCATGGTGGAGCTCATATCTTTATACAAAATACACCCAACTTACAAATCAGCTGAGACTAAAGATTGCTTTCTAGAACACGTCAAGGATATTGTTAAATTCAACACATATTTTCAAAGTGTTGTCAGAGCTTCCAATATTAATTATATTTCCTCAAAAGAAGCAAATACCTTTTCAATTCTTATCCATCAAATCATCAGTATTTTCTTTGATGCCTGTAAAGGAGAAACAGAACATGGAGTTTGTTGTTTATTATTAGTTTATTATTAAGACCCTGCATATATTGGACTTGCACATATGTTTTCCACACTCACTGAAATGGCAGCACAGATTACTTTTTATGAATGATGACCCCCACCCCCTCGTTTGATCTCTATTTTAATTTTAGTTAGTTTAATCTTAGTTAGCTCACAATAAATGGATTCTAATTTATTGTTAGATTATTTTTTTGCTCGGTGTTAAGCTCTTAATATATTCACACTTATGTAGTGCTACTGGCCACTCAAAGTGTCCATAAGTTTTACAACACTTACTAGTTCCTCATGACTATTTATTCTACACCAAAGTGTTTCTATCTATATTAGAAATACTGAGTAGCAAAAATGTGTTTTACTTTATTATTACTCCCCAAAACTAATTACAACTAAATGTGAAATTAAGCCTGAAGAGTTTGTATTAAGGATACTTTGTCTTGTGGGGCACCTTGTCTTGACTGAGGTACATCAAAGTGAACACAAGCTCATTAATAATTACCTTAGTATTGTCGCATTTATGATATGTACGATTTATACAAATCGAAAGTTTGTGTTACAAACTGTTTATGCTGTAAAAAGTAATTTGGATTAACGTTTGTGACAGGCTGCTTATACATGTGATGTTTTTAAATGCTTTTTACTTATAATTCTTGTACTAATGTCCAGGGCTGCAGCTATAGATTATTCTATCGATTAATTGAGTAATCAGATAAGAATGACTTTTGTCTTATTAATGAGCAATATTAAATAAACAAAAGGGAAAAAAACACAGGTCTTTCAATATCAACTGCTCATTTCCATTTTAAAATTGCAATATTTAAAATCTCTAACAACAACAATAACAACTAAACCCTTTAATTTTATGTACATGCCTTATTGAAATCTATTTTTGTAGTTCTTTCCAGTTCTTTTTCTGCATATTTTAGTAGAACTTCTGGAGGCTTACTGCAGATTTGTGTAAAACAAGCGGAAGTGGAGGAAGACTCTGGCTCCAGAGTGTTTTTAGTCGCAAATGTAGGCAACGGCGCGCTACAGAGCTGTGTGTTAAACGAAGCATCGAAGCAAAGAATTTGTGTCGAGTTTTTTGGCTGTACTGTCTCCAACAGGGTCAGGAGATGCCGCACTTCACTTGTTCTGACCTAAATGCCTTTTAAAGAGAGAAAATAAGATTTTACAGTACCTTTTCATGGTGACAGTAACGCTCCAAGTTCACTGAGAAAATCCACTATTGAAAGAAGTGCACAAATCCCACTGTCACGCCCAGGCGTGAGTCACACCTCGGCGTGTGACAAAGGTAGAATAAACGTAACGCTCCCTGGGCTTTTTCCTTGCAGGCAGTCAGTGCCTCTGCTCTGATTTGGAAGCATTATAAAGCCATAACTAGTAACCATAGGTGTTAAAAATAAAGACATAACATTTTGCGTAAGCTTTAGTTATACCAGTACGTTTCCATAAAGCTGCAAATCTGAAGAGGAAGCGTGCCTGAAGTCGCAGCTCAGGGCAAACAAACACACATCACAGGCTGAGGATGAATCACAAAGATAAACTTGGACCTCAATAAAGCTTCAAGTTTCACTCTGACTGGAGAAAAAACTGTCACATGATGAACAAATAAAACCTTTAGTGATGTTAAAATGGAATTCTTACCATAAAACAGGGGCCTCTGCACACTTCTTCACTCTACACTGCTTCTTTTGAGAAGCCTGATTCCTGGCTTTTCTCTTCTGCATTTTGCTTAGTGAATAAAAATAACAGCCTATATTTGGCAATCCTGCCTCTGCACTCAGAGAAACTTCCTCTTTCTTAGTTTTTCCCCCCTCAAACTGCAGTCGTTTGCTCAACACTTTGTACAGTTTTTGCTTCTCTTTTCTCACCTTTCTAAGAGCTGCAAATGATGAGTTCACTGTAAATTCATTTAACTGCTTGCATTTTAGCCTTAGCAGGATTTTTCCAAGGCAACTTTATAATACATGAGGTTTCATGTGAGTAATTAACTTAATGGAGAAGCAAATCAGTACAACAGGTACCAACAAGACTGGAGAATAGAAGGATGTTTGTGTTCACAGGATTTTTACCATGGGAACGGGTAATTAGGGTTAATTCAGTCTTGGATTTAAGATCCTCCTTATGACTGCAAAACCTGTTTGAACATCATCACATAAGCTTTGCTGATTGTCAGAGTAATTTTAGTAAAATCAGTTCATTCTGCCTGGCAGCTTCATATTTAACATCATTTGTCCGATATATCCAGTCTCCCTCCTCTGCACATGTTCACACCATGTCAGCTCCGCCTCTATACCTTTGTCTCTAAACCACCTCAACGTAAGTGTCCCTGTGATGTACTCATTTCTAGCTTATGTGGCAAATAAGAATGCTAAATGTAATGTTTACTTATTATTATGTACCCTCAGTTGTATCTAATGTCATTCTTATGGACTAGATTTCTTAAGGAGACTCCTGGGCAAAACATTTCCCATCCAGTAATCCATGGTACCAAGTCCCCCACACCATTACACCATGAGCAACCTGAAGTGCTGATACAAAGCAGGATGGATCCATGCTTTCACATTTAAACCAAATTCAGACCTACCATCCAAATGTTGCATCAGAAATGGAGACCATCAGACCTTCTGTTGTCCAATTTCCTGCTCATATAATATAGTATAATATTATATATAATAATCATATATAATACAGGAGTGATACCCGATGTGGTCTTCTGCTGCTGTTGCTTCAAGGTTTAACATGTTTTTTGCTCAGAGATGCTCTTCTGCATACCTTTGTTGCAACAAGTACATATTTGAGTTACTTTTGCTTTCATCAGCTTAAAACAGCCTGACTAGTCTCCTCTGACCTCTGACATCAGCAAGGCGTTTTCACCCAGAGAACCACCGCTCACTGGACATTTTGTCTTTCTCCAAATCCTAGAGATGGAAAATCCCAGCAGATTAATAATTTCTGAAATACTCAAACCAACAACCAAGCCACATTCAAAGTCAATTAAATCCCCCATTCCTAATTCACAGAGTTCAGGTAAAGGCTGTTACCTGTAAATACACAGATCTTTATGTGTTTTACAAGTGTAACTGAGTGCAAGTATATATTGCATACAAAGATGTGATGTTCTGGCATGCTGAATAATGTCATTAACCAAATGAAGTCTCATTTTATGCTGCTTTGGATTCTGCTGTGGGCTTTTCCCAGACCAGAGGGGAATTTAAATCAGATTTATTTTGGAGTGAATGAGCTTTAACTCCAAATAGGATCTCCAGGTCAAAACATTTGTAAATTTATAGTGATCGTGATTTTAGCTCAGTGGTATTTAGATCTCTGAGAGTCGACGCCACCTCGTGGATGAACTTTTACAGACTTATTTGTTTTCTTTTCAATATTTAGCCACTAGATGGGGATGTAGGGCTCCAAATGGCACAGTCGTTTACAGGTTAATTGTGACACCGAGTCTGTTTAACTACACCGTTCAGAATCAAAGAGTCCTAGACTGCTGGTGTCTCTAGTTTATTTTCAATGCACTCTCTAAACTGTTAGGCCACAGGGCTTTGATGGTCAAATTGAGGTTTGTACTGTAAACCTAGAAGCTTCCATGCTCTCTATATTTGTTTACAACAACGAAATTGTTTATTTTAGGTAGTACTTAGTTGAATTTGCAGGAAAGTACAGGGCACATAAGTTGTGAGATGAGGAAATATTGCTTTTTTTTCCATAAATTTACCATGAAATAACCCTGTACTTAAAATTACTTACCCATTTAATTATGGTTATTATTATTTATTTATTTTTATGTTATTATTTTGTTGTTTCCTGTACAAAAGTTGTTACACGAAATTACATGTAATTACAGGCTACTTGTGCCTTAGTCACGGGTTTCGCAGGCGACTCCATAATATGGCTCCCATTCCAGAAAGTACAGAGTGCTTACAGTGTACTTGTTTCATTGTTTCTTGCAAAAACCTGACTTGTTGCCTACAAAATGCATGTAAGTACAGGGTACTTGCACCTTACTTGCAAGTCATGTTATAAAGTGTTACTATTTCTTATTATAATGAATGCATTATAAGAAACTATTTGTCTGTATTATCCATTACCTGCTTATTAGGTACACATAGCTAAGACATGGTTGCCTTCATGGAGGTTATGAAAAAAGGTCTAAAAAGCGATAGTTTTGTTTTGGGGGGTTTTCTGTTGTTGGTGCACAAAAACATTTTACTAAGAATTTTTCATTCACAAACATTTAAATATATATACAAAGCCCCCCCCCCCACAAACACACACACACACACACACTTTGTTGGGCCTACTTTTGTTTTTTTCTATTCGACTATTTTAGAGAAATACAATGCTTAACAATTTCTTTTACTACCTGCCATAAAATATAAACAAACAAAAAATATTTTAGATATCTGTTTTGTTTTAAATTCAAACTAACTTTGTTATTTGCTTAAAAAATAACAAACTGAATTTATGATTTTATACCCAAATTTGAGCCAGCAGACTGGACTTCTCTGAGAAGTAAGAAATTAGTCAAGCACAACATTTCACCACTAAAACTAAATGATTTAAGAAACCAACAACACAGCCCTGTACTAGATGGCACCAATACATCACTGTTCCGCTGCTTATGGGACTGGGTGAAGATGAAAGGTGAGCAAAGCACATTCTATGAGGATTCAGTCTGTGGGACACAGGAGAGACTCCCAAATAATTACATTCTGGGACAGATAAAATGGAAAGGGCCCTGCCCTCTTTCTATTTCCCCAGATTGAAACTGTTATGCCACTGTGACAGGCCTAGTGCCCCCTCCAAAGAGGTCAAGGAGATTAGCCCCTGCTGATATAAATGATGTGAGGCGGATGTGAGGTGACACATATAAAAGCTGTTTTATATGTGTCAATATCTGCAATGAATCTGTATTGATTAACGAACACTGAACAACTGCAATACACCTGATTGATATACAATGCCCCGCATTGATGATGCCCTGTATTCCTTGTCAGGCAGCCAGTGATTTTCAGTATTAGATCTGCATATGGGAAACGATCAGATAAAAAAGGCTGCGAAGACAATGAAAAAATGGCATTTATTTGTCCCCTTGGTATCAAAGTCAAAGTCAGCTTTATTGTCAAAGACCATATGTACAGTCATACACATTTGAAATTGCAATGCTTGCATAGCCCTCAGTGTACACTAAAAATCTAAAGATGAAAAAGGAAAAATAAAGTAAAATAACATAAAATAAGTCTTATGTACAACACAATACAATACTATACAATTATTTAAACAGCAGTGTCCAACACAATCATAGTGATTGTGGGCAAGTTCGTGTGCAAGTGGGAGTGGGGCAGTCAGTGAAAGGGCAATGGTGGTGGGTCAGAGTTTGTATGTTTGGGGTTTTGGGGGGGTGGGGGTTCAGAAGGAAAAGATGAATGCTGGTCTGGAGTTCATGTGTGTGAGAGCAGGGAGTGAATTCAGCATCCTGACAGCCTGAATGACGAAGCTGTCTTCCAGTCTGCTGGTTCTGGCCCGGAGGCTCTTCAGTCTCCCTCCTGATGGCAGCAAACTGAAGAAGTTGTTGGATGGATGAGTGGAGTCACCTGTAATGCAGAGGGCTTTCTGGATGAGGTGGGTGCAGTACATCTCCTGGAGGGAGGGAAGAGAAGTACCTACGATCCTCTCTGCTGCTCTCACTACCCATTGTAACTTTTTTCAGCAGGACCCAGTGCAGGAGCCATACCACACAGTGATGCAACTGGTGAAGATACTCTCAACTGTGCCTCTGTAGAAGGTTTTCATAATAGGGGTTGAGGCTCTTGCCCCCCTCAGTTTGTGGAGGAAGTAGAGTCGCTGTTGGGCTTTACTGACCAGTAATGCAGTGTTTTTTAACCAGTAGAGATCTTCTGAGATGTGCACACCCAGGAACTTGGTGCTGCTTACCCTCTCCATAGTAGCACCATTGACTGTTAGTGGGGTTTGCATGGTGTGAGTTCTCCTGAAGTCTATGATGATCTCCTTAGTCTTCTCCACATTCAGGGACAGGTTGCTGCACGACTCGGCCAGATGGTTAACTTCACTCCTGTAGTAGGTCTCATCGTTGTTGCTGATGTGACCTATCACAGTTGTGTCGTCTGCAAACTTAATGAGAAGGTTGAAGCTGTTTGATGGTGTGCAGTCGTTGGTCAGCAGAGTGAAGAGCAGGGGGCTCAACACACATCCTTGGGGAGCCCCTGTATTCAGTGTTCTTGTGCTGGAGGTGTTGCTGCTGACCTGTACTGTCTGCTGTCTTACTTTCTATCAATTTGAGAGTATGCCACAGGGAATCACTGGAGCGCCTGTAACGTTCAAGGGCTTAATGGAGATAGCTGTTGGGGACATGCAACTTCTGGAAACCATTGTGTACTAGGATTATATAATTGTTTTTGGCAAAACGCTTAAAGAGCATGAGCAACAGCTCTTTAAGGCATGGTTCTCCAACTCCAGTCCTCAAGAGCTACAGTCCTGCAGTTTTAGATGCAGCCCTACTCAAACACAGCTGAATCAAATGGTTGAATTACCTCTTCAGCATGCTATCAAGTATCATCATGCCAACCTGGTAACAGGCCATTCATTTGATTCTCGTTGGAGACCCCTGCTTTAAGGTGTTGGACAGGCTAGAGGAGTTTAGTTGAAAGTCTCCATTAACAAATGCCAATTCTGTCATCCTCAAGTTAAGTATGTGAATAACATTGCCACCACAAATGGAATAGCCAACCTTCTAGAAAAGGTTGAAGTGGTGAAACACTGAAAAGTGCCCACTCACTTGAAAGCTTTCAAGTTTTTCCCTGGATTTTGTAATTATTATCGGAGGTTAATAGCAAACTACTCCACCGTCATCTGTCAACTGTCAGTCCTCACCAAGAGTTATAGTCCCACTTGGAAGGACCCCAAAATCCAAGAGCAATGTAGACACAAACCAAACCATCAGAGCCTTTTGCTGGACAGTGGAGTCAGAACATATCTGTGATACATTTTACAACTACCTGTATGGTGTCAAATTCATTGTCAGGACTGACAATAATTCATTAACATATGCACTGACATCTGCTAAGGTCAGTGCAGTAGACATCACTGGCTTGCTGCCCTCAACATCTATGATTTTACCATACAATATCATCCTGGGTGCTGGCTGTGACAGATCATTCCATATATATATATTAAAAAAAAATCACAATTAATTTAAATGTTTTATTTTACCAACAATTGCACACAGAGGCTTTTCACAAATGACGATAATGTGAGAGTAAGCCTCTCTCTGTGATAAAAACTAGACCTTTAAAAAACAAAAAATCATAGCAATACATCAAGCAATAATTCACAAGGCATGACAATTTAAAAAAAAACAAAACAAAAAAAACAGCCTCTTTGTGCTTATAACATAATGGTGAAATAAAAAATGTGTTGACCTCAAATTACAAAGAGCCTATAAAAACAACTGACCAAGAACAGTCACAGGTATCACAACTGGTTTATATAACGTTTTCTTTGGTATGTGGGAAAACCCTGACGTGCAGAGTAAATAATGGATAGAATAATGGAACAAAAAATTAAGACAAATTGTCTGTACTTCAAAGTCTCTCTTTAAATCTAAGAATAAAACGCTGAATGCTACAGGTACAGAACAGTGTTGAGGAAACACTTTAAGAAGAGAGTGAATGTTAGAGAAAGAGTTTCAGCCTTTCATGAAGCTGCTCTGATCTTCTGATATTTAAATTGTATGCTGCTGTAAACTGTATTTACAGCATTTATTTACAGAATTAATTTGGCATGTGTAAGTAAGTAAGTAAGTAAAGTTTATTAATTAAGTGCTTTTCATAGACAGGCAGTCACAAATCGCTGTACACACAAAAGTTAAAATAAACAGAACGTTAAGTAACAAAATAGACAATCTAAATCATACAAAAAGTTTTAAAAAAGAGCATTTATCAACAGAAGATTTGTTTAAACAGAAAAATTATAACTGCTTTTTAATGGATTCCACAGAGTCGACCAAAGTGTAGTTGTGGTTGTACACTGTTACACAGCATTGGTGCCACAGACTGAAAGGCTCTGTCCCCTTTCGTCTTCAGTAGTGTACGGGGAAAAAACAAAAAACTCTGAGTCTGTGAGTGGAGACAATTAGCAGCAGTGTATTTTGTAAGAAGCTTGGATAAATAATCTGACCATGGCCAAATAACCTGGCCATTCAGTGCTCTGTATGTGAAAAAAATAGATTTTAAAAGGAATTCTAAAATCTACTGGGAGCCAATGTAAAGAATATAAAACAGGAGTAATGTGAGCTCGCCTGCTAGAATGAGTTAGTAGTCTGGCTGCTGCATCTTGTATAGCTTGGAGGCAAGAAAGAGATGATTTGTCCAAGCTGATAAACAGGGAATTACAATAATCTAAACATGATGACACAAATGCAAGAGCAATTTATTCCAATTCAGTTAAGGAGACCATTTTTTGCAGTTTAGAAATAAGATTTTTGAAATAAGAGCATCTAACCTCTTTCACTGACTCATTATATAAGTGAAGAAGTTCTTTGAAGTGTTCATGATGGACACCACAGATGCGTTGAAGACCACAAGTTTGATTATTTAACCAGGGTGCGCAGGAACTAACAGAGCAATGCCCAGTTTTGAAAGGAGTAACCTGATTGACAATGGCAAGACCGTGTTCATTAAAAGAGTTAATAAGGAGCTCAATATCATCAGAAGAAGTTTTAAAATTAAAAAGACAAGAAAACTTAGAAATGATCGAGTCATCAATAATAAAACCTTGGGGAAGAGACTCTGAGTTGACAGATATATTAAAAGAGAAGGACTTATGTTCACTAAAAACAACGTCATTTAAGTTCAAGTGTTCAAGGGAAACACCAAAAGTGAAGATCAAGTCCGGAGTATGCTCAGCAGTATGAGTACGACCTGATACATGCTGAACAAAATTAAAAGTCCATGATGCTCAGGAACTCCTTAGTGGTACTATTTGATGAGTGTTCTGCATTACAGTTGAAGTCACCAACAATAATGACCTTGCCCATTTTAATAGTGGAAATTAGAAATTATTGCAAGTCTGACAGAAAAGACGCAGCAGAGCCAGGTGGACGATAAATTACAATACCGTACATGGGCTGATCTCTTCCAATTTTTATCATAATCATCTCAAAAGGGTTGTAGCAGCTTGAAGAGATCATCTGGCATAAAAATGTCTTTTTTAAAAATTAACACTGTTCCACCTCCTCGTCCAGATATCCAAGGTGCACAGAGAAATGAACAGCCTGCAGGACATAGCTCTAAAAGATGTGAGACTTCATTCTCACGCTGCCATGTCTCAGAGATAAACATAAAATCAAGCTTCTCTGCACAGAACAAGTTATTTAAGATATAAGACTTGTTGGCAATTGAGCGGGCATTAATTAACATAATTTTAACGTTGCGACCCGGGACAGGTGTAGGGTGGCCTGGAAGAGAGTCTGCACTATGAGGTAAACCGCACAGCAAATCAGGGTTCCTGCTGCGATGAGCCATGGCTTTCCATGCTTTCAGATGGCAACTCGGGTGGTAAACACAGGGGGTTGTGGGGATTTATCCAGCTCCGACAAGTCTTAGGTGTATATTACTGGCAGCAGCCCAGGGATAAAGCCCCCGAAGGTCTACTTCTCTCTGAAGCCAACAAATCAGCACAAGAAAGCCATCTCTCTTCCCCCGCTTCCACCGATGAGGCCTCTGTAGCAAAAACACTTGCACAACATGTAAAGTAAACAAACACATGGACAAAGGCAGTGGCAGTGGTAGCCAAACACAGGCGCCATTTTGCCTTCTTTGTCTTGAGAGAAGTACAGCTTAGATGCAGAGTGGAATTACACACAACTATGTGGAATTAGCTGTATGATCACTTACAAAATGAACTGACAAAAGTGTCATTCCTCTATGAGACCAAAGAAACTGAGGCACCAACCAGACCACCCAAACCCAAATCCAGCATAAAGAGGTTGAGTGAATGTGGTGTTGAAGGTGTGAAGATGGATAAGAGTGCCAGATGAGACTCTGAAGAAGGACAGAGTGCCAGCTGGACAGTCCACATACACCGCTACTCTGTCAGGGATAGAGTAGGAGGAGTAAATGACTGTTTCTTTCCCATTGTGCCAGACGGAATAACCATCACAGCATCGCAAACTCCAGGACTGATCATTCCTTCCAAACAAACAGTCCGTGTCTCTTCTTCTTCCAATTCCTTTGTAACTCACTGATATATGAACATCTCCTGTCCACTTGACCTCCCAGTAACAACGACCAGTCAGACCATTTCTACATAGCAGCTGAGGCCAGTGGCCAAATCTGTCTGGATGATCAGGATATGACTGATCCGAATACATATACGTCACCATTCTGTTGTTATCAGACAGTTTGAGTTTTCCATGTACTGTGTTTGTGTCAAGTGTGAGTTCACAGGAATCTGATAGAGATAAGAAAGACAATCCAGCTTCAGTTACTGATGCATCTGTTCATTGATTGACACTCTGATGATGACTCCTGATATCAGAGATGTGAATGAGTGATCATAATGGTTAAATATACAGCTTTGTTCGTTATACAAACACTTACACTTCCTCAGACCTGGTCTCAGCCATCGAACTTCAGCAGACTTCATTCTGAAAGAAGTGACAGATTTAAAACAACTGTTGAACCAAAGTGCTTTCCAGGTAAGGTAGACGTATTAACAATTCTGGGTCTTGTCCCAGAAATCAGGTGTAGCTAAAATTCATTGTGTTAACCCTCAACTCTGGAAACTCTGGGTTTTTTGTTCCACAAAGAAAGTTCACTTATCTTTCTTTCAGTTTCTTAAGTGTCACAAAGTCTTTACTCTCTCTGACTAATGATATTCATTGACATGCATTCACATTTCTCAGTTCACCGGATTCAAATGGATGCTCATGGTGACCATGGGCATCCAGATATCTGAACTCCACTGATTAGTTGTTTTGTCATACCTGCAAACATTCTGAATTCAAGCTAAACATAATTAGAATTAAACTAATTTAATCAGCTGTGCAGGAACTGAAAGAGTTTCCATAATCTCAGAGTTTAGAATTAGACAAGAAGCTTTGGAAGCTCTCTGGTTAGGTCTGGTAGAATATGTTGACAAAAAACGAGTGAATCTAGCTAAAGACAGCTGATTGAAAACTATGAAAAAAGGAAAAAACACACAATACCAGTTTATTTGAAAATATTAATCCAGATTTTAAATTGTGATCAGTTGAAAAGGTCCTGACCTGAGAGCTTCCAGTGAACAGTTTGGACTTTTTAGTCCCTCAGACAGAAGCTTCATTCCTGAATCCTGCAGGGTGGTGTTACTCAGGTCCAGCTCTCTTAGACTGGAGCACTGGGAGGTCAAAACTGAGGACAGAGCTTCACAGCTTCTCTCTGTCAAGTTACAGCCATTCAGCCTGATGAGACAATAATCAAAAGGGAGACATTCTTTATTTATCAGGTCTGGCAGTGACAAAGACAGTAATTAAACTCAGCCTTGCAAAAAATGTGGTTAATCAACATTATACATGACTTAACTTTATAGGACATGTTTGGATAACTGGTGAATTTAAATTGGCTGTAGGTGCAGATGTGAGCCTGAATTATTGTCATTGTTCTGTCCCAAGTAAAAGATTAAAAATGGTTCATAATAATTTAGTGATAAAAATGTCATATTTCAACTGTGGTAATTTATATTAAAAAAGAGAGTCATTTAGTTAAAAATATATTCTATGCAGTCAGCATTAGTTTTTCTGTATCTTATTTTGAAGGAGTAATCTGTGTTCGCAATGGATTGTGGGAAGCAGAAGCTGCAGTCAGTTGGGAAAAAGCATTGTACAGAAAACCTGCCTATCTGTGTCAACAGCCTAACTTTATCTCCTGTGGCCTGAATCTTTATATACACCATCGAAAGCAATGGCTGTAAGTTTATTACATGTTCTGATTTAGAGATCGTTTTGTGAATGTGTTTGTACCAGGAATTAGCCTTAAACTAGAAGCGGATTTTGCTTAGAGCATGATCTATTACCATAGCAATGATGCTAGCGATCTAATTTGCATATCAGAGGATTGTTAAAACTACTGTTTATCATTACTTAGCAGCTAAGACTAACTTTGATACATGTTTTCTATCACTATTTCTTTTGTGCATTTATTTCACAATGTCAAAGAGCTAAAGGATATTTTATTTTGAGTTTTTTTTCTTTAGTTTCACTCAGCACTTTCATCGAGCTATTCAAGCCACAGTTGTAAAAAATTGTAAGCCATCGAGAAGACTGTAATAAAGGAGCAAGACGCTCAGTTTCCTGGCTCCTGAAAATTGAGTTTGGCTTGCTGTTGACCTGCGTTAACATACACAGTGTATACAACACATAGCGATAACAGTATAGTCATTTTCCCTGTGTTATCTCTATGGTAGATTTGTGACATTTTTAGGGTGTACACACTCTCTTGTCCGAAATGTCTGTGAAGGTTCTCAGTCATCCAGGTCATCGTAGTCTAAGGAGCTTGGAAAGAAAAGCATCTGGACTTCTTTGAGTTGCTTGAAGACGTTTCACCTCTCATCCGAGAAGCTTCTTCAGTTCTAAGGGTCAAATGGTGGAGAGTCCCAGATTTAAACCCAATGGGAGTTACCCCCCAAAGAGGGACAAAGGACCCCCTAATGATCCTCTACCTACTCACATGAACTAAGGTGTGAAAGCGGGTGTGGGTCACAATCAGCCAGGGTTTCAGGTGAGCGCATTGTGAAACCTGGCCCCACC